TACCACTGAGGATATTTTACGTCAGCGCGAGTGCTAGCCGAGTGCGGAATTCGTATCGACCAGCCATCGCTGGGATTCGAACCCGGTTCACATCCGGATCCGATAACAAAAGCTTTTCTATCACGTGAAATGCTCTCAACTGACAGTAATTCGGACATCTTCTTTTACTGGAGGGGAATCGAGTGGCGGCAACAATATAAATCTTCTAAATTCAATCAAAGGGGCCATTCACACTGCATCCTAGACGCGCGTTCGAATGTTTAAAAACGTCATAAGCTCCTCGCGCAGTTGCCAATCGAATGCACTACAGTCACATACGATAGTACGCATGGACATACGGCCTTAATCAGACATCACTTTCTTTGTCATTCAGCTGTGCCAACAAACTTATTTTCGGTAGTAATTCTTCGTAAGCGTCCTTCTTCATAAAACTTTTATCTTTTTTAAGTTTTTATCTGGTTTCAAGAAAGTAATACTATACTCTGTTGCAACTTAAGAAAAAAAAAACATTATTCCTATGGAGATAGCATATTTTCATCTAAGTGCATGTCAAATGGATACCAAGCTCCAAGCACAAATGAATAACAACATCACCAGCTCTTGAAACGACGTAGCACGACCTCCTTTTTGCTTATGAAAAAACACGAATTAAATTTCTGTCCGACGAGTTTAGCTAAGCATAATTATATAATTTGATTGCTAAATAAAACGGAACTATATGCAGTCACGGATGATTACTTAAATTCTATACCACAATTGCCTTTTCTTAACTTGCAACGGAATATAGTCCTGTATGGTGCAGTCCTATTCGTTGCTGTTCTGTTCGTATAAAATCTCCCCTGACAAGGCAAACTCCTTTTGTCAAAGGATTTACCGTAATAATGATTTATCAGAAAAATCTGATTTTTTTTACCCTCAAACTTGATCAAAAAAAAAACTTAAGAAATTCACAAATAGTGAAGTTTTTATTTAAAACCTTTATGCATTTCCGTGTCGCGTTGGTACATCTACATCAGTAGGTTAAATGGTAAGGATGATAAGACAGAGATGATGTAATTTGTCAGAGGTTACGTCTCACTAAATAGATAAATATATAATCAAAAGTCACAATATTAAATTGACAGTAAGAATTAGAAGATTAAAGATTTGCAAACATTTGAAAAATATAGTATAACAACAAGATCATTAACAATTGAGTTCTTGCTTTTGACGATGTGGGAATTCTCCCAAAAATCCAAGTCAACGGATGAAATTTATTTATGAATAATATGAGGTGAAGAAAAATTGAGCCTGTGGCTCTGTCCAACAATGTTTCACCATGGATGAGAAGTGGAGTTCTTGATGTATCTTTAATGTTCCTTGAGACGATTTAAGAGAACTCGTTTAATTTGCTCTTTGTACTAAAGTCCCCTTTCGACATACATCTTTGTAAATTTCCATGTTGTTGTGAACAATCAATAGGTTGTTTAAGATTATGTGGAATTTATTTTTTAATCCATGTTTTAATTTGTTGTGTTATTACTTTGAATCAATTACAATGGTATTCTCCTTAATGGATGGTGTTTTCAATATAAATGTAAACAATAACAATCTCGAGCTCAATACCTGCTCTAGTTCCGGTTAAAAAGTTTGCAACTGCTTACTACAGCTTATTTTGCGAGGCGATATTTTCAAACGTATAATTTTGTTTTCAATAATAGAAGTAATTTAGATAATTTCTGTGCTCAAATCTGCCGTATTTCATATGATATTGATGTTATTAAGTAATTCTGGTGAGTTTGAAGTTAAAATTTGTTTTAGTTATTTATAGATATATTGTTAAAAAGATGGTATAGTTGCTAAATGTTGAATAACTCGCTTTTTTTTTTTTGGCAATCCTGATTTGGCCTCTTTCTATTTGTTTATTACTGTTTGTTCTTGTTGTAAGCTGTGCACCATCTCTCGTTAGTGTTAGCACCTTTAGCATTGTAAACACAAGTAATAAGTAATCAAATACCACGTTTGCAAGAATCTCAAAACACAATGATCACGTTGTGAACCAAATGGCTTTAAAATACGCCAGAAACAGTAGCCCGGAAGTATAGGCGGTATGGAGCTTGCAGCGTTCTTTAGTGTAGAAAACACCATCCATGGGCTTCTCCTTAATAATTCTCCTTAATAAGGGTCTTGTTAAAATGGGGTAATTAATAATTCTCCTTAATATCCCCATTTATATAATGTTATTTATCGTCCGATAAATTAATGTTGAATTAAATTTTTTATTTACAGAGTTGTTCATGAAAAGCAGCAAGCGAAGCAAGACGACTGTTGGAAAAATTGTTGCCTTTGCACACTATGCATGGCTTTGTGTTGTTGGTGTTGCAACGATTAAAAAAAAAGCTTTTGTAAATATATTTAGTTTTTTTTTATTTTTAGGTCAAAGGTGATGTTTTAAAAAATATTTTTTTAAAAAAATTAATATTGATAAAAGTAAATGTTGGTACTGATCCCTAAATAAAGTAATTTTCTCTAATGCTAAAACTAATATGAATTTACTGTAGAATATTAAGCATTCGAACGTTTAATGCTAGTACACACATTTGAGCGTAAGCTTCTTCATTTTTTTAATTAAAATTTTCGGAATAAATATTAAATCACAGAACAAAGTTAATCAAAAAAATTAATCGGAAAAAAGCGCTATAAAAAAAAAATTTTTTCAAATGCTCACCGCCTTCATCACGTGATATCCGACGATACTATTTCGTTATTTTTGGGAGAAGGATGTGAACAATCCTGGACAAGGTTGCTATTTGGCGATGGTATGACAAAGATATTTATTTCGCAATCTTTATGTGCATTTTTTCAACACTAAATATTTCATAAATTTGATGACATTTTTCTCTTTTGAGTGAATAGTTTATCCTTTTTGAGGCATTTTGGAAGGGAAAAAAAAGCAGTTCTTAAATTTAAAATATATTTAATTAGCTAGAGTAACGAAAGGTACAATAGAATTCACTATTTGCGTTTAGCCGCATTGAAGGTTGTCTCAATTTCAAGCCCGGAGATGTTTCTCCTGTTACTCCCGCTCTGAAATTAACTAATTCTGCATCCGAGGAGGTGGAGCCAACTCCTGGTGAACGAATTATACTGACCGAGCTTAAAGCCCTAAACACAAATCTCTTCCAGACCTCATCTTTGCTCTGAACAAGGCACATTTCGATACAATACTGCAAAGTAAGGCTGTACTCCATGGTATGCCATGGCTCTGGATATAAACAAAACTAAATCTTGTGGGTGCGAAGACTAGCGAAGATTTCCTCAATCATACACAAAGCAGAACTTATTACGTTGAATTGAACCGATTGAACCTCTTTTCTGGTTTTGGAGATTTCCTCTATATGAGGAAAATGTTTACATTGAAAACGAAACCATTAAGAGGCTGCGCCCCATTCTGGCTAAGTATTAAACATTTCTTTTTAAGACTTGAGCAGAAAAATTTAACTTTAAAGTTGTTTCAAAGTATTGTTCTAAGAGATGATTAGCTGTCTTAATAAAAAAATATGTAATTATGTATTGTTTTATTTACATAATGATAGAGATTCTTATAATGAGATTCACAATATTGAAATTTCATATAATGAAATTTCGTATACAGATTCTTATAATAGAAATTTTATGTGTTTCAACAAGTTTTACTGGGAGATTTTTATAACAGTGTTCATGGAACTCATACCCTTTTCTACAAAACACAAAATTTTTTGAATAACATGTAATAAATTTACAAGTTTAACAAAATCTGCTTGATTTAATCACTATTTTGTCATGATTCTATAACTTCAAGGTATGTAGTTACTGTCAATTTAATATGCGAACTTTTATGATATATATGTACATTATAATTTTGATATGATTTTTTTTCTATGATGAGATTTAAAAGTGATTAAATTGAAAAATTCTTCAGGAAATATTGTCTCATAATTTGTTGTATTGTAGAACAATTCAAATTTTATATATTGTGTAGTTGTACCTATTTTTTATTTAATTGGTGGTGTAAATAAAAATTTTTTTAATCCACTCATTAAGTTTCATTTTTTGAAAAATTTTATATAATCTTCACTAATGTTGAAACATAACAAACAAAACAACTCTATTTACATGAATTTAACCAAAACTATTCTCTATGAATTCTGCTCCACAACACACACACTCACAAATTAAAAGAAATCAACTTTTTTGATTTCTATGTGATAAATAAGTAATTTCCTATTTTATTTTATTTTATTTTATGACCGCCGTTGAACAGTCGACCCAATTTTTGGGTTTACGACTACAAATGTTCAACGCCGTAGCCTTGTAATTTTGAACCAATCCAGAAGACAAGGAAACTTCTGTATCGGTACCCCCAGAGGTATTGATTTGTTATGGGAACATGGAGGACTTTGAGACTCGACAGATTTAACGTGCATCAGTCACCATTTACTACACGGGGAGTCTTCGACCAGCAGGGACCGTACCCACGAACTCTTGGACATGGGCCCGGCACCCCACTGACCAGGCTATCCCGGCCTAGTAGAGACAATTTAATTTTACATAGATAACTAGCAGCGTTACATTACAGCCACAAAGAATGGACATCGACAATAACAGTACAATATAAAATAGCTAGCCACGTCACAGGTATTTTTTTTTTTTTTTTTTT